CTCACACTATCGCAGTCAGCTCAAGTGGCATCCCATTCGCCTCCGCAGGAATTCGCATATTGTGTCTGTTCTCTACAATATTCTATATAACCCGGTATCTCTTAATTGGATATCTGAAAGAACGTTTCAGCTTTTTCAGGTCTCAGGATAAATCCTATTGCTCCCTCGTTAGTTTTCAGTTTTTATTCTCACTACCTTCACTGTTTATGCGGTCAGAATATGGAACCATTTCCCGTTACTGTCACGATAACGCACGGTAACTCCTTGTCTATTTTTAAAACGAGAGTTAAGAAGCACTATTTATCCACTGGTTCATCCATTTTACAGGTATTATAATATGAAACACGTTTTTATCTAAGTATTTATTATATTAATTCAAGATTAGTGATTTTGTTTTTTTTTTATTATATAACTTTTGTTTTTCTGTGCACGTGAACCAGTAGTATTGTAATTATTTTGTCCTGTATTTAGGTCTTCAGGAAGAAATTTCTTATAGAAAAAAGCAGAACGTTTTGTTTGCGTTTTCCTTTTTAGTTAATGTGACTTGTATTTTCCTGTGAAATAAACGATTAAATAAATAATCTCAGTACAGAGTACTAAAAAAACCGACCTCAAAAGTACGTGGAAACAAGTTTTTCTGAAATTGGTCACCGGAAAGTGCGTAAACCCGGATTCATTCCCTAGTTCGCCATTATAAGAAACTTGACACAGGAGATAATAAAAATCGGTTCTCACTACTCAAAGTATATTGAGAGAGAAAAACGCCTTGAATTACAGAATAGCAAAATCAACCATTAAAATAATTGCTCCTTATAATAGAATTTAGGCGCTATTTTTAAAAATAAATCTTCATGCGTGAACAACCACTCTTAGAGGTGGATAATTTTCTTCAAAATTAAATGCACCACTATGGAGGTACCCTCTTTCCAACAAAAAAGAATCATGAGAATCGGTGCACAAATACCGGAGTTATCACGTAACATATATACAAAGAAAACGTTGAATTGAGATCCGCCTCCTTTTTTGAAGTCTGTTAAAAAAATTACAATTATTACGTGAAAGTATTAACAATTAGTAGCAAATAATCAATAATTAAGTAGTTATCTGTAACAGCGTGTATATTTTTTTGTTCTCAAATAATTCAGACATTGATAGGAGTTTGATACGTGCTTTAGATATGACAGTGGTAACTTACTAATACGCTGCCAAATGACAAATATACATATAAATATATGTTAGCTTAGGTACATTCCACTACAGGGCACGAGGATTGTTTACGACGGGCATTTTAATGGGATTTGGTGACTTTACAAATTTTATATTTTTGCAATTTTGCACCTTCAGTTGTCAGGTTTTGAGTCGAGTCAGGAGATCGGCTTATAATTTCATTTTCCTATTGTCTTTTGTCTTCCCAACAATATTTTTTATGCTAAAAGTCGAAAAATTAACTCAATTTTTGGGTCCCCGAGTGTTCTTTTGTGCTAAAGAATGAAAAAAGTTAAAAAATGGTAGACTCGAGTTTTAATAGAATTTTCGGAAAGCGCCAAAGGAATTTTATTGTTCTATGAATAATGTATAAATTATGCTTTTTAAAATAAAAAAATATGAAAGAGTTCTCGACGTTATGAATTGAAATTAAACGGAATTCCTCGGAAATATTTGACATAATATTTGCTGAGTTATTGAATCTTTAACGATGGAATGTTATAAATGTATTGTGAAAGGAATTAAATATTTTATATTGTAACACAACAACTGACAAATATAGTAACCTCACCTTGCCGCTAGATGGCGTTGGAAGTGTTCACTACATTATCATTTAAGTTCAAAAGGATAATTGCTGGCCATCGGCGACCAACTGAAAACTGTCAGTGTCAAAAAAAGAAAGAATCGCTTTGTATCGAATCATAGGCCTATGAGTGGCACTCCGGTACTTCCACTTGCTCGGATACTTGAATGATAGTTTATAGAATTGTCGTTCTTGTCATCATCAAGTATATAACCAGAAATTTGCACTGAAAGAGTTTGCACTGAAATATAAACAGGCAAACTGACCTGTGTGTACGTCTCCGCATATTCCAAAAAATATTCTGTATTTATTGTAATAAAGATAATATCTCTGACAATGCCGTGCTGTTCTATTCGGTAGTGTGGGACAAACAGCAAAACATCTAATTACAAAGCAAACGGAATCACATTTCATCGGTAATTAAATATGTAATTTTCGTCCATTATAGCAAAGCTCAAGTTAACTGGTCGATTTGAAGTGACACAGTTGACGACGCTGATTAACGACACCCGTCAATTGTTTCGAACTCGGGCTAGCCAATCGGAGCGCAGTTGTCACAGTAATGATATGGCAGAATAGTTTTCAAACAAATTAAATGACATTTCGTCTCTATTTCTGGTTCTACACTCGACGCTTGTCATGGATCACCGGCTGCCGCTTCCACCTGGTGGAAAGGTGACCCAGGATCGAGGATGAGCGCGATTACGTCTCTTACAACTATGTGAATAAAAGCTGTTGTCCATTTATAGATTCGGGCGTCTCTCATCACCTGCCTCGCTACGTTTACCTATCACTACTAACAAGTATCCCCTAAGGAGAAAATTAAGGCCATAGTCCTTCACGCTCGCCCAATGCGGATCCTAGATTTCACTCGTTATCCAAGGTCTAGGAATCGTTTTTGACAGACACGATGCTTTTATTCACTTTTAACCTTTGCCATAAGGTCTCGAAATGTTTTTATATAATTTGAATAATTTCGTGCATCGTTAGATACATTACACCTATTATCATCGTAGTATCATAGTACTATCGTACTAACATATTATTAGCAGTAGATCTCCTTGTGGAAGAGTTTGTACAGGGAAGTACTGCTACTTACTATTTCTGCCGCCAAACAGTAATGCGAATATTACTGTGTTTCGGTTTTAAAGGGGGAAATTACCATAGATATAGAAAAAAGGGGAGATATGTAATGACACTATGTAAGATCGGGTGCCGATGTCGCCACTTTTTAGCATTGTTGCAATTCAAACTTTACGCTCTATTATCTACTACCATAACTTAAAGATTTTGATTCGGTAGGGCTTAAAACGTGAAAACGACGTAAAACAATTTTAAAATTTAACAAACTTACAGTCACTTGAATAAGAGTTATATTACAATATTTCAGTATTTTTTTCATCCTGGTTCAGCCATTCACCGATAGGTGGCGTTTTAGTAAAAATACTACTAGTATATAATAGCTAACTATTACACGTTAGATGGCGCTGAAACTCATTTTTCGTTATACTAAGAACTCACTTAGCGCTTTTCACCAGCGTCTGCCGCGGCGGGGTACTAGTAGAACCGCGCAGGACGCGATGACCTGCGCGCCTGGCGGCCGTCGCCCGCACACTTTGGCGGTCGGTTCAGGCGCAATGTGGTGTAGGCGCACGCAGGTAAGTTCTCTATTAACCTCGCGACTTGCAATTAACTCCCACTCACTTCGCGGTCCGTGCCGCAATCGCAACGGTTTCGTGCCCGCAACCGCGGCAGCTACGTGCCCGCACAAACTTGCAGGGTCGTGAATATTGTAATAAAACCTCTGTCTGGCAGCACCGGCGGGCGCGTATGGAAACCGCTCCGTGAATTGTTAACCTTATTAACCTTAAACTGACGCTACTCAACGAGTGATGTGGTCCTACCTAATCGATGGTTGGAAACCATGTGGCCGTTTTTAATATTAAAAAAAATATTCCATTTTGCATACTATATCTACACTGGTACTGGTGTATTATTAAATTAATATATTAATGTAAATTATTATTATTTTCTTAATGGCGGCCACTAGGCTTGGGCCAGTTTTCTATAATTGTTTATAATTTATTTTGCATGCACAAGTAAAATAAAGCCGATTTTATTTTATTTATTTTTTAAATGCATTTGCTATGGAAATTGAAACAAAGTCAGAAATAGTAATAAGAAAACCAATCTTTTGATTTTCCTGCAACTTCAATCCAACCTTCTTTTATTTTGAACTCATTGGAAAAACTTAAAAATTACAAATACTCTACGTTTAATCTACGAGTATAATGGGATTTAAATATCTAATACACATAAATTTTTCTTCAAGCAACAGTAACACCCAAATTGACATGAAATTGAACGGTTGCCCGAAATATGAGTTGTGTTAAAGTTACTCGAAATAAAATGTTTAGTAATAATAATAATAATAATAAAATAAAAGAAATCAATTTAACGTGAATGCTTTTCGCTTCGATATTTTAGGAACTTTAATTACAAAAATCATAGTAAGAAATTCAAACATTTCAGTAAAAATTTATTGTCGATAAACATCAGTCTTCGTAAATGAACATCACTATATTTGAGTCTAGAAATTTCTATGGAGGCAAAAGAACACATTGAATAATAATAGAAATAGTAACTAAAAATGCAAATAGCCAGTGGAATGTCATTTCACTGGTTTTAAAATTTTTGTTTTCACTCCAATTTTTACAAGTTGTATCGCTACAACTTGACATTTTCACGTGTTACGAGAGATCTTGTATGTACAATGATCGCCATGTCACTGTGGCGACGTTTGTAGGCGTGTCCAAATGACCATATCGAGGCGACACGAACCACACCCCCATACCTTATCTCCCCTTGTTTTTCTATATCTATGGAAATTACAGGCACATGGTATGTTATAAAAAAAACCTTAACTGCTCAATATATTTTATATTGCATAGATTTAGAACAAGTTTTGTGATTCTCGTTCTTTCTGTTTTCGCTTGAATATAAAAATCCGATTTTTCATTCTTTTTTTTTTTGACAAAATGAAAATACACCTAAAAATTTTAACCATTCATCGTTAAAATTCCCTTTGGAAACTTTATTCGCTGATGTAAATAGGGCTTTTTGCAAAATAATTTGTAAGCCTTTGTAAGTAAATCGTTAATTTTCAAGTCCGTTTCGCAAAATATCAAGTTTAATTAACTCATCAATACACGTTTTCTTTGAAAACACCGTCATCCGACTTTGGGAGTCTTTAGGTATTTCGCTAGCAGGTTGTAACCTGCTTTTGTGTGGTCTAAGGTTAGGGAGCTGCAGCTTTTTGGTTTTTTTTATGATATCGAGTAACGGGATGAACAAGTCGCGGAATCAAGGTGGTAAGCGACACGCTACAACCACAAAGGAGCACTGTGGCTGTCACCCTGAGTCATATGTTGGCAAGTCCCATGTACCTGTAATTTCACTTTTCGAAACCGATACGCAGTAATGCTCATATCGCTGTTTGATAGCAAAAATAGATAAGGTGGCAGTACTTCCCTGGATGAGCTGATTCTCAATTACCTGTACAGCCATTAAACTACTGGTGTTTACTGTGTGGTTGAAACGGGAACCTTCCATCATCATTAGGAGCAGTGCGTTTCACCAGATGTACGTCTTCGTAAAAAAATATTTAGTTCGGCGTTGATGGTTTCATTGTACACTTATTTTCACCAACGATGTTGATGGACACTCTAGCTTTGAGTTTTTTTTTTAAATAAATAACGCACACATTAAACATAGCCCCGCACTAGGGAAACCCTGTGTCGCGGGTGCCATGGATACACACATAGACAACCACAAATTACACCCAAACTCACGAGAGAAATAATTGTAGGCCATACAACTATTTCTCCCGGCCCGGGAATCGAACCTGGGACCTCTGCGTGGCAGTCCGGTATGGTAACCGTTCGGCCACAGAGGCAGTATAGTATAGAGTAACCCCAAATCTTACTTTTCGCGTGATATAGATACCGGTAGTGTGTTGCGTTTCTTCGTTTCAGGAATTGAAATGAATTACTGGTATAAATGTTCTGGAATGTTTTAGACCACTAAAATAGGAAAGATGAAGATACTCTACTGAAAAACTCCTGTGTAGATTCTCCGAAGAAATGTGTCTTAATCGTAGTTTTCCAAACACAAATTTCCGTTACCACGTACATGTAAACACATAGAAGTGTAAATTACGTATTTCAATTCTAAATGCCTGTATCTTGCACCACAGCCACTCGGTGGGTGTTTCCCCGAATCCCTCCTTATCACAGACCCGCAGGCTTTCCCGTATTTTTGTTAACAACTTCTTTTCACAATTTTCACTACCACCCTGTATACGTGAATGGGATTTTTGTACTTGTTATCGGCAAACTTCGAGTTTAATTTTTATTTCAATAGCTTTTGGAAGTTTGTTTATTTGTTAGACAAATTGTTTGGCCTCTCTCAGTTATGAATTCGGAGTCGATTGTTCGCTTTTTAAGTGATTTGGGTTTGAGAATTCTTAAAGGCTCTTTCACGTAAGTTAAAATGAAGAACATTTTGTTAAAAACATAATTTCTTTGAAGATTGGATGTGTTAGAACTAAGGTAGCATAGTGAATGATTACTACTCAAATGAGTGGTCAGCGGTTTGAATCACTGTAACGGCATATGTATATCTATTACTTTAAATTACAAGTTACAATACGTCTCGTTAAACGTGAAAGAAAATTTCATGATGTAACCTGGTTGGAGACATTTTCTACGTGAAAAACCAATGACAAACCAACCAAATCAACCAAAAAAAAGCCAGCATTGGGCTAGTGTAGCCGATTGTGGTCTGAGCGTAAAATAGGTAGATGATGACGTGGTATCTAGGGTCTTCATATTCAAATTCAAATTCAAATTCAAAATAATCTTTATTTCATAGGTAAGCATTATTACACTTGAAATCGTCACAATATTAAACTCTACCGCTCATTCGTAAGGCAGATTCCCCTGAGAAGAATGAGCAAGAAACTCTAGGGGTTGCTCTTTGTAAATAACATTTACAATATTTTTTTTTTATTTGAAACATCAGAGATCGAGACTACCTCCATGAGCTAAACGGGTTACTACCACGGATTTTTGTCATCCAAGTACACAGAAGTTGTATAATAACCTTTAGTATAAAGTTTTTGTTTCACTATAGTTTTAAACCTCGTGAAAGGCAAATTTTGTATATCAACCGGAATCTTGTTATAGAAGCGTATACATTGCCCCTTAAATGATTTTTTGACTTTGTGAAGACGACTATCAAGAAAAGCTAGTTTATTTCTATTCCTCGTATTAATGTTATGTCTGTCACTATTTTTCATAAATAAATTACTATATGGAACTGAGACGTGGACAATCACTATATGGCTGCTAGTCCACCAGTTACTCAGCGAGCTAAACGATAACATTCGAAATGAGGTTATACGATAAAGCATCAAGGTCATCGACATAGCTGGTAGAATAAGCAAGCCGAAGAGGCAGTGGGCTGGCCATATATCGAGGAACCGATAACTGACGGGGAAAACGAGTTCTCTAGTGATGACCACTGCTCGGCACACGATCCACGATCTAGCAGTGGATTGTGTTAAACTGATCTTGATGATGACGTGGTAGCTTCGCACTTGCATTCTTATTAGCGGCTGAGTAAGTCTCTTGATTCAAATTGAAGGTAACCAACTAATGGAAATATTGTAGGAAACACAGTTTTGTAAATTATTTCTCGTCGAATAATAGTAAATTAAATCTTTTTAGACGTGACCCTTGCTTAGTAGTCACTGTCACGTACACGGCTTCCGCTACAGAGAGCTTAGTGTACCTGTAGATAACAATTTCAGAAGTGAAGAAGAGTGAGTTATTGCATTTTGCTTTCATGGTTTATCTGAAATGCACCTTCCGTAGTCGCAATAAAGTCTTCGTTGAGATCGTTAGAATATGTAAAAATTCTTCGTACCCCGTCAAAAATTGCCACTTTTCCTCTTTGCCTTTATGCAACTACATTCTGTTTTTTGACATTTTTGCTTAAACGCTTGTAGCCTTTTCTGAATTTACATTATCGTCAAACTATATCAAAATTAATGTTATGTTCCGCTGCTACTACTTTAGCGAATATTTCGAATATTCTGAATCCGAGACCATATAAATCTAGAAAACTCGAACCCACTTTGGAAGTCGCTTGTGCCCTAAGAGCTCTTGTACATCTAGAAATAAAATGTCCTTGTGTCATTTTGGACCGTCATTTCTCGGGTTCGGAACGGACACGAATAGGACGGAGTGCGCAAATACTCAGAATCAGTTATTAACGCAGAATTGCAATAAGTCGGTTAGAAAAAGCTTATTTCTATGAACGTAAGAGCGAAAAAGACGTTGTGTGTTTCGCGTGGGTTCGTGCGGACGCGTCTCGACACAGGGCGCTAACGAGGGGGTCTGTTCCCGTTCTTCGTGCGACATTCGTCCAAAACAATTACTGTCAAATAAGTAACACTCGACCAAATGAAAAAACAATGTCACGTATGAAGCTTATTTTAATTTCGTCGATTAATTCGCGATTGTTACACATAGGAAATTGAACTATTCCGGATTTAAATCGCGTATATTTGTTTAACCAATGAGAAAGTATTGAGAATCCGAGTATAGACGCGGAAAAATTATTGGACATTTGATACGACACGAAAACTTCTTCTTTAGGACCATTTTGGAGGGAAAGATCGAGGGGAAGAGGCCAACCTAGGCGCAGTTACATAGACCAAATAAAGGAAAAGACCGGTGTCGTATCGTATAAGGAGGTCAAGGAGCTGGCTTGTAGGAGAGATGACTGGAAGTGGCTCCACCGACAGGAGTATAACTCTTAACTTTGATTATGATATTTGTTTTGACTGTTGAGGTCACGGTTGAATCAACCATGACCATGGGATCTGGAAAGGGTCCGAAACATTGGTTTGTTAGAAAAAGCAATTGTACGCGATTTAAATCCGGAAAAATAATCATTTCCTACGAGTATTACTTATTTGACAGTAATTATTTCGGACGGATGTCTTTGACGGACGGACTGGTTTAGAAGAAACAACGGCGAATCAGCTTAATGCGACAAGTGTGGATAAGCACGATTGCATCAAGACGATTCCGCGTTTATAAGTTTGGTGACTCACTTGAAGAAGATTCGTGTACAACAGTTTTGAATGAAACAAATTTTCCAACGGTTGTGAAATTGTTCAACATGATTATTTTCTTTGACCGCAGCGAGAAGTATTGCTTCACAATACAGGAAAAGATCCTAGCTGGTCGACGTGCCATTCCCTACCTGTACATCTAGCCAACCACGAGCGGAGTACCTTACGATGGTAAGCATTATAGTGTATGCTATTGGTAGTATAAGAAGAAATTGCTACTCAACATTTAAATGAAATTCATAGTACTATCGTTAAACCATGACACAAGTCCTACGCTTACACACACATACATATATATATATATATATATATATATATATATATATATCATTGACTTACAAATAAATGGACGACGGGTGTAATACAAAAACCACGAAAAAAATGTCCCAAGTCAACCTATTTAAACGTAGTGACATGTAAAGGAATACGAAAAAGCTAAAACGTTGAATTTAAATTGTAATGTCATCGCAGTACTGTCTAATTCTGCTTGCTTCGCTGTCAGTCGAACAAACGAAGACTAAAGCGTGAATTACGCTCTGTATACGATTTTAACGCCCTATAAGTTCGGACACTTTTTAGCGCGGACCCGACGTCCATATAATTGTAAGTCAATGATTTATATTAACATTTATGTCAAATTTGGTGTAAACTTAATAGCAATACGTTCAAGCTGGGGAGTTAGTAAGTCTAAGACACAGATCTCTTGATCTAATTTGGATTCCGGTCTCCTGTAGATTTTGTCCTTTATTAAATAAAACCTGACTTCGTAACCAAACTTTGTGGAGAGAAATAAACTTATTAATGTTATTACGGTCATTCTCAGACTAATGTTCACTGCCTAATTTCCGTAACATTTTTTTTTAATATTCAAGTATATTATCGTATAATTATTAAATAATATTTCAAGATACAGTACTCGAATATTAAATAATATAAAAAAAGACATTTATTTATCCACAAAACACATAAACAAACATAAGCGAACAATTAAAACAAAAGAACCTTAATGTAG